CTGATATCGAGGTCATCCTTATTAAAAATTGAGTCTTCATCTGCTAGCCAATCATGTTTGACATCGTGATAGTAGACATCGCCCCTATAGTTCAATGGGACAGTTTTATCTGATGAGTACGAGATTGGTCAAGGCATAATAATTATCAGCGGAGCCACTTTAGGAACTGATGTAATCCTAATGGGTATTTTGGTGGAGATCCTGGAAGAATTCGAGGAAATGGTTACTATTGAAACAACATTGTAAGAAATGGTTGGAACGAGAGTCTTTTCAAATAAAATCTATTTGTCATCCATTAGGCGTTGGACACCTGCTTTCAATAAATGGCAACCAGTTGGTAGGGATAAACAGAATTGGCAGCCTTCATCATAGCCCGGAAATAAACCGGCCTTCAATAGGTTCTTCTTGACAGTCAGGAGAGGAGTAACTAGTTCATCAAAATCAGTAACAAACATATCATCTTCAACAGTGTTAACATCACGACCATGCTTGGGCATAGGAGTGGTGATAACATTTGGGATTTCAGGAGCATCAAATTTAATTTCTTTTGCTTCAAGAAGGTCTTGCACCTTGTTTTTCAAAGCCCAACAGTTGTTGGTATCATGGTCTGGACTCTCTGAATGGTAAGCACAATGAGCATTAGGATGGTAGTGAGGAGAGGTGGTGTTGGGATTCTTCGGAGCTTCTATCAATGTTACCAGATTAGATCTCAACAAATGTGGCAGGACTTGAGATAGTTCCATATTAATCTGGGTAAATTGTCTTACCGGTCTTTCTGTTCTAGGTTGGTTGCTTCTTTGTTGAGTAGGCACAGGTTTAGGGATCATGACAGCCCCCACCATTGGACGACGTTCAGTTCTATCTTTATTTTTTTGAGGGTATACAGCACCAACTTATTTCTTCCCAATAAATGGTTTTCTTACAGTAGCGGAGGATGCGTCTTTTTGGATCTTCCCACTCTTAATCCCAGCTTCTATTCTTTCCTCAGTCAAGATTAATTCATTGAAGCCTATTGAGGAGCTTCCAAATAAATGATTAAAGAAAGGACAAGACAGGGTACCCAGAAACATTTCTACTAGTTCTCTTTCAGAAAGGGGAGGCTGGACTCTTCCTGCTAAGTCCCTCCATTTCTGAGCGTGGTCTTTGAAACCTTCACTTGAAACCATAGCCATACTCTATAGTTGATTACGGGTGGGAGAAAGGTCTACGTTGTATTGATACTGTTTATAGAAAGAAGTGGCAAGGTCTTCCCAATTATGGATATTGGCCCTTTCCAGTTGATAGAACCAATCTAGCTGAGTCCCGGATAAACTGTCTTGAAAGAAAGGGACCCACAAATCTTTGTCAGCAGTGTGAGGCTTTATCTTCCTCATATAAGATCAAAGATGCATCTTGGGACACGAAACCCTGTCGTATTTAGCGAACACTGGTGCCTTGAATTTTGGTGGAATAACAATCTCAGATACCAAACCCATCTCTTCAAAGTCTAGCTCGGGCACTTTCTGAATTTCCATTGCACTTAGAAGTTCTTCCAGATTCTGGATGGGCAGCCGCTTCCTTTCCTTTCCCTTCTTGATTATCCTTTTCACCATATGACATTGCAAAGTCTAGGGTCTGTCTGGCTTGTCCTTGGAACCTTCTTCCCATATTCAGAACTCCGGTTATTTTCTTTGCTTTCTTCTTCTTTATTCAATCAGCAAAGTTTTCAAATCCTCTTGTCCTTTGGCTAGAGTCAAGAACATCTGTTGAAATTGAGCATTCTGCGCCTGGAGGTCTTTTACTATCTGCTTGAGATCCATCTTACCCAAATAAACAGTAGAAAGATGAGGAGACTTGTTGTAAGAAACTTGCTTATGTTATGATGAATGGTAGATGCATATGCAATGATTTCAAGGAAATTAGAGATTTAAATTTGCTTTAGACCAAAAAGGAACACACGTTATATTAATAAATCAAAGCTTGAGGACATCATTCCTCTTTTGGGCTTACAAAGAAATACAAAAACTCTAAGATGAAAAAGTTGTACGCATCCTCTTTGGTGCAATGTTGCCGTTCAGGCTCCGCTCCTCATGAAGTTGCTTAGTGAGTTCCAAAACCTTCTTCTCGCTGGCGTAGAATTGGGCCTCGAAAGTGTCTCGCTCCCCCTTAAGTTGTATCTAATCCCTTTGTAAGTCTTCAAGAGAGGTGGGCATGTCAGGATGCAGGATAGTGTATGGAACATCTCCTTCCACAGTAGGCTCTATGATCACCGGGAGAATGGAGGGGTAAGGCATCATAAGACTTTGAGCACGAGCTCGTACCCATTTGAGGTAAGGCTCAAGAGGGATGGAATTCTTGTGTCCCAATGTCTTTCTATCTACCTTGTTCAACATCCTCCAAGCTCGGATAAACCTCTAGCGGTGACCTTGATCGTCGTTCTCGTAGTCAAATACCAAACCTTGAATGAGCATCTCATGTGGGCCATCCCTTCGGGCGTAACCAAATTGTCTTAAGGATAAGCATGGGTTATAGGTGATACTTCCTCTAATGCCAAGTAAAGGGACATTAGGGAATTCTCCACAACAGTCGACAATAGTAACATTCTCTATAGATCGGGAACACCAATGAATGTCTGAATGTTTGAGTGTCATCAACCTATGTGACCACCTTGAACCTTGCTCGTTCTTCAATACATATTGGGGAAGATGTGAAATAAACCATCTTTCCAAGAGAGGAGTACAACACATAAGTGAAACAACCGGCTGAGAATCATCAAACAATGAAGTCGCCATCAAACGTCTTTTATCCCACATGTAGGGAAAGGTAAACATCAAGAAAACCTGAGAAGGGTGAAGTCACGGTCTTGCGACCGAGAGATCGGGTAAGGGAGTCTGTTACACGAGGGGAAGGTATTAGCACCCAATACGCCCGTAGTCCTCTATGGTATCCACTCATGTTATCTATCTTATGAGTGTGTTTAATCTAGGCTTACTGTTTACTATACTACTGAAGGGGGAATGCATGCAAAAGAAAAGGGAAAAGAATGTAGGGAAAATAAAATTGTGCTCGCTTGGGCCCTACCCCAATACCTACGTATACTTTTTGAGGAATCAGAGCTACCGTAGTTTGACTCTTATGTTTTTGTTTGTTTGTTTGTGTTTTTTATGGATGAATTTAATCCCTCCTTCTGCCGCAGCTCGACCTTTGGAGACTTATGCGTTGGCACAGAAGTAAATTAATCATGTCCTTAACTGAAAAGGGTTTTAGAGAAAGGTCCTTGAGCGCACAAAATTATTTGAATTGGTTGGTATTTTATTAACTTGAAAAAGGGTTTAAGTGTTGTTAGCATGTTTTATGATTTGCTAAAAAAATGAGTTTTAATGCAAGGATGCAAAGAGGGAAGAAAAGAGTCTAAGGGAGACTAGCCTATTTCTAACCTAATGTTATCATACAATGGTAGTTCTACATCAAGGATGAAAGAGGAAAATCTACCTAATATCAACATGCATGGCTTGCAACCTAAGGTCTAACTTGCGTCTGAACGGAGCAAGCGCATCCTAAGGGAACATGGTATGTACATGGATAAATAAAACAAGCCAGTACACTCAAGAGAGCACACCTAAAGAGACCCTATCTAAGTTAGCATGTCGAAGAAAGTCTAACAAAACTATCCTATAGGGAACATGCAATGAGAGCGAAGTCATGATCTCAATTTCTAAATTGAGTGACTCACTGATCAACAAGAAATAAAGGAAAGCGATAAAATCCTATGGAGAGCATGCACTGAGAGCGAAGTCGTGATCTCAATTTCTAAATTGAGTGACTCATCGATCAATCAACAAAGAAATAAACACAAGCATAACACATATAGCAAATGAAGTGTGGAATGCCTGCTACAGGTCTTTGAACAGCGACTTCGAGCGCACGCTCTTTATTTCCTACTTCTCATGATATCTAGAAAGCAGTAAAGTGCGAAAATGAGGAATAAGAGTGAAATTGCGATGATACCGAACGGAGGAGGTCCGTTGCCTCTTCAAAGCCACGCAAGTGATAAGAAAACTCTACCAAAAGCTGCTCCGCATGAGTGATCATAGAATTAATCTAACAGAGAGGGTTCATTGCCTCTTCAAAACCACACAAGCGAAGAGAAAACTCTACATAAAGCTTCCATGATGAAAATTTCACACTTCGTTCGCTCCGAAATCTTCTCAAACTCAAGTATATTTTTATTCCAAAATCTCACACAAAATTGGCATTAAAATCTACCAAAAACATGTCTAAAATAACAACAAACAAAGTTAGTAAAAGAATTAAAATTCTATTCTAATATTTTTTGAAATCTTATCATGTAAACAACTAAGAAAAAATCATGTAGAAACATCAAACAAAACTATTAAAAAAATAATAGAAAACACTCGGGGTGCATTACATAAGAAGGAAGTATTGGAAGGAATTTATGCTAAGCCCATCAGATTTTATCCATAAGCCCTTTTTGTAACATGCAGTTCTGGATTCCAAAAAAGGATATAGCAACTGGCTGAGAGGGAGTGTGGTTCGATCCAAAACTATTTTTTTGTACTGTTTTCCAAAAAATCTCACCAGGATTTAGTGCATCAAAGCCTAACGAAACATAGCCTCTAACCCATAACTTCTTTCAACATTACCAATTTAGTTTTGTTTAAAAACTAAAAAATAATAATAATAATAATAATAATAATAATAATAATAATAATAATAATAATAATAAAGAAATGGTGGAATGATGTAAAAAGGGATTAGGGTTTGATGTCTCGATTGAGTTTCATCATGAAAGGTGAACTTGCTTCTTCTTCAAAACAAATCGCAGTGTCGACGACTCTTATTATCTCCGAATGACACGGCCAAGCTCCTCACCGTCTTTGTTTTGCAATATTCTTTCCGCCTTTGTGAATTAAAAAACTCTCTCTATTGTCCATTCGGTTTCTCCTCTTTAATTCGCGACGAATGTCGTCATGAAAGTTTCTTCTCCTCTTCAATTCGTGATGAATGCCGTCATGAAAGTTTCTTCTCCTCTTCCTTCACTCAAACTCAGAAGGCGCTACCACCACAAACTTCTTCTCCGTTTTCTTTGTCGAGCTTCAACCTCGAGGTCTGTCGTGACCTCTTCCTTCTCGTCATTACAGATTCTATCAAACAGAAAACCAGAAAGTTACTCAGGTAATCACTCATGTGCTCTCCTTCTTCTATTCTCTTATGTATTCGAATCTTTTTGCGTTGTTCTGAATTTGTATGATGCACTATGATTGTTGTTCTTTGTGGTGAAGAGTTGAAGATTGTGGAAAGCAAACGAGGTTGCATTGATGCTCTAGCGACTTCTATTTTCTTGCAGTGATGTAGAGTAGAAAATGATGATGGAAGAATCAGAGAAGTGCTTGATTATGGAGGTGGATCAGAGAAGTTGATGTTGAAGGATGAAGATGCGATGCCGAAATATTGAAAGTTCCACGAAGATTTGCAGACGATGATGAATATCATTAATGATGAAGGTAATTGAAGAAAAAGAGAGAGCAGAGATTCTGAGGTGAAGATTGCAGAAAGATTGGAGATTTTGGTGAAGCGAATTTCTCAGAGAGAGTGAGGTGGTGATGATTGAGGTTGCAGAAAGTTATTGTGTTTTGATGAAAATGCAGAGAGAATGGCAACAATTGTTGAAGGATGAAGGTGATGGTGATGGAATAGAGAGAGTAGTGAAAGATCTTTTGGTAAGTTTCCTATATCTTGCCCCTCTTTCTGATTGTGATTTTTTTCTGATAAGTTATGGTGGATGAATCTGAATTGTGATCCTCCTTCTCTTTTCTTCTCCCAATTTTCTGTTATGCCTTTGTTAGCTGTTATTTTTATATTATTTTTATATTATAGGTAGTTTGAGCTGTTAGTTTAGGAAAAGTTAGTTACGAACGAATTTGATCTCAGTTGTTGATTTTGGAATCGGTTAGAGAAATTGGATGGTTAGATTTACTGGTTTTGGATTCTGTTAGTAGTTACTGCGGGTTAGTTTTTGCTAAGCTGGGATTCAGTTAGTTTTCTGTTGGTTCTGGTTGGAAAATGGTTAGAGTTGTTAGTTCAATTAGAAAAATAGTTAGAAGGTTTTTGGAAGTTGGTTAGAGTTAGTTTTTGTTTTCTGTTATGATAGTTGGTTAGGAAATTTCTATTTTTGACAGTAATGACTAGTTTTTTTAATGAACTGTTTTTGGGTATTTTTGCAGGGACTTGTCACAGCAGGGTTATAAAGAGATTATCTTACGGTTTCTTGTTACATTGTGTAAGCAGAGCTGAAGGAAATATGCAAGAATGATGGTTTAGATTGAAGCAAGGATTAGCGTGTATTCTTGGCAAGCAAATGGACCAAGTTGTATAAGTTGAAAACTATTTATTGAATGGACTTTGAATTAACCTTTGGACTGTTTTGGAACAAGGCATTAATTTTTCTTAGGATGCCATAGAAAGTTTGAACTTTTTGTAATGTTTCTTTGAAATGCCAGATTTTAGATGTAATGACAATGTTGAATGGTTTTTATGTGAAGAAATTGGAACTTGAATAGAATTTGATCTTGAATTTTTGAAATTTGGATTTGAACCTTGCTTTCTTGAATTATGCCTTGCAACTTGAAAACTACTCTTAGGATGCAATAGAAAGTTTGAACTTTGTATGCCTTGAATGCAATATTAATTTGGCAATTCCAAATATTCAATCTTCTATCCGAACTCAAGTCTTCTTCAAATAGAACTAAGAGCTCCCAATGCTTCTCTTCATTTGCAACTTGAATGAAACACATGATATCGAACCTTTTTTATGGATAATTCACGAGATAAACTCAAAGATGACTAAAGAAAGACTTTTATTTGAAATTCAAAATCTTGGTCATGGATGAACATGGTGTGCTTTCTTCTTCGAAGTGACTTGAATTCCAAGGAATCCACGTGGATGGACTTTCCAAACTTAATACCCTTTGCCTCTTAAAATATTGGTCCAATTTAACAAATTCGAACCACTTGAACTCATGACCCCAAATAATCACTTGAACGAATACTTTCACCGTAATGAATCCAAACTAATTAAATTCACTCAATATCCATCAAACTTATATAACAAGAAATAGGAGAACCAATAATGCCTTAATCTCAGTGAATTCGTAACATCATCCTAGTATCACGTCTTTACTTGATGATCGACAAAATTTTAGTGCTTTGAATCCCTAAGAACGGATGATAAGGCTTGAAGCATAGAATAACTCATGGATATCTAACGATCCTCAACTGAACAAAACTCAAGCGTAAGTATAGGTAATACCTAATTCTCTGGATTTGGATACTCAATGAGGAGAAAGATAGCTTAAGCCAAAATCCTAGTTCAAAATAACCTCAATTACAACCTTGATGAGACACCAAATACCATATGTAAAAAACCCTAATGCACTTTTCTCTGGATGAATTCTTGATGGGGTTGTAGCTTGATGAAGAAAAGATCCACAACATCCATGAACACAGAACCCTAATTCCATAATTTCACTGTCTTGAAGAATAACCAGAAGAATCAAGCTTTGTTGAACATATACACCTCAATCAATTGCCAAAACCCTAATCCCGTCCATAAACATTGATCTTATGCAAAATTTGTTGATGAATAATGCATGAGGAGTTAATTGACCTAATGAAGGTTATGTACATGAGTAAAATGCAAGATGCGTAAGCCAGATAAAAGTAAAAGGGGTTGGAAAAATTTGGGGTATTACAGGATACCTCTTTTCCTCATAGTGCGAGTGTGAAAAGAATGTAGGATGTCTCCTAGCAAAGTATGTAGCAGGTTACGATACATGAATATTTTGATGGTGTTTACATCTATGAGTTGGTCAGAATTTGGAAATAAAATCATCCCATAGATGAGGAGAGCCACAATCTCCTCAAAAGCTTGCAAATCCAAAGAGTTCCAACAGTTTTGGGCTTTCTCAAACAAGAACTTTTATAAGAAACCTTTGACACCACTACTTGTTTCCCAATTAGTTGTGACATCAGATGGTTGCAAGTGTAAGGCTTGAGCAATCTCTTATGGCTTTGGATCTATTTTCGTACCGTTGAAAGGTAGTTGATTGAGAATGGGAATCCTCAAGAGTTAGGAGAATTCTTCCAAAGTTGGCACAATTTAATAATCGGGAAATGTGAAGGAATGGTGTAGAGGATCAAAGAACTGGAAGAGCACCTTCATCATGTCCTCATCAGTGTTGGAGGTGACCAAGTTTAAAAGGTGACCATGTCTTTCGGTAAATGGAGAGTTTTCAGGAACCCTTGATGTTATCTCTTTAAGTTGAGGAGGGATCCTTACAAGGTTGACTTGAATGGGTTTCCTACGAATAGAATCCATGTCCTACAAAACAGAACAAAGATAAATCCCAAGATCCTTGAAATGGTTAGTGAGAATGAGTATGATGTTATGATGTTTATGATGTTATGTACAAGTAAATATATACAAACAAAACAAACAAGTCATTAGGTTTAGGCTTGCATGGAGTCTTATAGGTAAGTACCCTCTTGAAGTTTAGTTGGCTCAAACTTGTCCTAGTAATAGTAACCGGGTTCTAAGGAGCTCAATATCACTGGTTTGTTTCCTTCGGCATTGTTTGAGCGCAAACCTCTTTAATGGCGACCGAAATATCCCAAAAAACCAAACCTCAATGAGTGTAGTATTGAGTATCTACCAACTTTGGACTGCACCAAAGTCGGTCATCTCACTACGTCCTAATGGACAAGTTGATCAAGTAAAGGTTCTAAAAGTTCGTTAGTGCTTCATGACATTACTCAGCGGCCCCGTATTCTCCTTGACTACTCAAGGGCTACCGGTACCCACAAATATGTCACACTAACGTAGCTATTTCTTAGACCATGTCGGTATACCCCACACAGTTTCCATAATGTATTGTTACTTACCTATAAGGTATCCCAAATCCGGGTAGAGGATTCAAACCCAAACAAAGAACCATAATGTAAAGCATACAAGTCAAACAATGAAAGCAAGTAAGTGTGATCTAACCCTAAGGTAACCCCACTTTAAGAATTTTCCCCAGCAGAGTCGCCAGTTCTGTGAGACTGTGGGAGAGCTGACTTGGGTGTTTTGCGTTTGATTGCAAATGTTGCGGTTAGCAAGACTCGCCACCAACTTTTCTTTTATCCAAAAGGAAAGGTGAAAAAGCACAGGAAAGACCTTTGAGATTGTTTCTTGAGTTCGGGGGGTAGATTATGAAAAGGGAAGGTATTATCACCCTTTTCATCCATGGTTTTCAATGGGTTCTTAGTTACTTGCTAGATCACTTGCTTTTATTTGAAAATGTGCTTTGTGTGATTTTTGAAATTATTTTGTAAAGAGGCCATTGTTTATGCAAACTTTGTAATGATTCTCGTTCGTAAGAATGTATACAAAGTGTTTGATCTTTTGAAAATGTTTTCAAGTTTGAAAGGTGTTTTGAAAGTGTAGGTGTTTGTTTTGAAAATAGCAAGGATGTTTTAGTTTTGAAATTGAGCAAGTAACTAGGAACATTCTACCTACTCAAAAGTCTTTCATGTTTATTTCCTTTTTCCTTTAACATTGTTATCTTACCATTAATTCGGTAAGTAACCCTATCTTTGGATGTAAAAGGGACGGGCGTGGGTCATCGTATAACCATGATTAGAAATGTTGCAAGATATATTAGCATTTTTCTTTAGGGACTAAGATCATTTTGAAAGGCAGCATAGATAGCGTCATCGAGGGACTATGATCTTGTATTTTGCTTGTTTTGCTAAGATACCTCACATGCATAATATGGCCATTTTTGTAAGGCAACAAAGTGGGTTTACCCTAGGGGTGTTTGTGTACAAGTGTATTGATTTACATACATTTTTTTTGTCTTGATTAGGGTTTGCTATTTGTTGGTTTTAGTCTTTCCATACAAAACCCTAATTACTAGCATTTAAATTGCGAAAAATAAAAATACTAAGCTATTACTTCTTTTAGGGGAGGGGATATACAAATTACAAATAGGGAATATTGAAATAAATTAAATCTAAATAATTATTACAACCCTATTGAATTTGAATAAATGTACAAAATTGAATAAGTAAAGATGCAAGAATGTCAAATGTAAAAAGAAATATGGTTTTTGTTTGGTTTTTATGAAAAAGGGTTTTTTGACCTAATTAATTAAAATGAAATAATTAACTAAAAAAATAAGAAAATTAATATTAAGTTAGTAAAATAAATTAATTTAAAGAAAATAAGTTTTTTAGGGCTTTGGTGAATTTAATTAAATTAGTAAATAAAAATAATTAAATAAAAATAATAAATTCTAAATTTATTTTAAT